ATATTTTGTTACATGAATATCTGAACATACAAAACATCAAAAGAAAGAACAGGGTATCTGCTTGTAAACAAAAAGTTTTTATTCTGGCTTCATGCATTATTGTTTTAAACACTTGAATGTGGGAGAAGTACATAAAAATTAGACTGAAAGTATACTTTCCTATTTTTAGTTTAAAAGAAGTATACTGATAGCACACTTGAATAAACTTCTTTTTCATAAGGGTCAGATTGGCTTTAATCGCTGCACAAAAAATTAACGAAATCTTTATCTAATTCTGATTGGGTGGGCTCAGCCGGACCCGGGTGGTCAGCGGGGTACAGTTGAAAACCCTGTGATAATTTTGCTCAAATGAAACGGAGTTGTAACCAGTGTGCATGAGGTGTATACCCAAAGACGGGTAAGATTCTCCTTTGGCCAGAGGTGGGCGACCTAAGGCAGGGCTACACCTCCACTGGGCACCTGCCCTGGAAGGGAGGTGTAATCTGTGTAAGGGAGTGGATGTGATGCTTCTTTTGGGCCAAGAGCATCAAAGAGGGGACTGTAAGAAATTATAGTCTGCCTCGACCCAGCTTCCACTCCAAATTGTGTATTAAACTATGCTCCTTTCTCTACAAAGAGCTTAATTATCATATAGATAGTTCTTTCCGATCTTAATCATATGTAAATAGTACCTCCGGAGCGATAATTTGTCACTTATAGCGTGGGAGAAGCAGCAGGTCGTCAAGAACCATCTGCTGACCAAAAGGGTACATGAAATAACTGCTATGGATTCTGTTTAATCTTATCACCTTAACATTTGGTTGTTCCCACTTGAGTCTACCGAAGATGTGGGAACGGAAGGCTATCACTTTCATTGTCATCCGCAATTTACATTTAAAACGAAACTTAATTTACATGTTGAGCGGGAAGATGAACGTAATACTGTATAAAATGATTGAGCTTAGGATGTTCGGGGTTCAGTCTGACTCCGTTGAACCCAAGGTACTACATGTACTTTGTCACTACTATTCTGTAATAAAAGTTATTCTTCATCAAGATCTTCGACGTCTTCACTTTTTCTTACAGACACAATGTATCAAATGTACCCGCACTAGAATCCTATTGCGGCACATGCAGTTTAGTTGCACGATGTAAGATCACAAGTTAATAGTCACATTCAGACAATGTAAAAAGCAAATTAAAACAACATTTGATGTTTGTGATATTTAAACTGTCTACTTCTTATTGACATGTTTTCTAACATGAAGGACATAAGGATATTAGGACATGTTGTAAAATATGCAAGGTGGTATAATGGGTACAGTTGATACACCCTTTCTAGGTGGTTAGATCTGCAGATACAGAGGCCAAAATGACATTTGCCACCACTGTAAGTGACAGAGGTGACTGAGTCAGTGTAGGCCTATAGCCTAGGTCAGTGGTTCCCAACCCTGGTCCTGGAGGCACCCCAACACTGCACATTTTGCATGTCTCCTT